ATATATATATATATATAACTATGCCTAATACATATTTGCTCTGTGAAGCACATTAGGCATAATGGGGAGTTAGTTTATTTTTCATTATTTTATGTAAAAGATCTTTCAGCATCATCAAAATAGCAGACTTGTAACATACAATGTGATTACTCAGAGTCGCCATCGTAGAAAGCTTAAGAGGACATGAGACAGTAGCTGATGTTCTAATTTATACAATCTGTATGGTAGAATATCTTTTAATATAGTAGCTAATGTTCTTTACACACAAGAAGCCCCTAGAGAAAAAAAACTACAGAAAAATTTCCTTCTATTATATGACAAATGCTACTACATATAACCTATCAACAAAATCAATTTGCTTAAACACAATAGGACCGTAAGAGTTTGCAATATGAAATAAAAGACACAATAAACTTTCCAAGACTTCACAAAAGAATCCTTCCTTTGTTTCTTGTAGTGTTAGTATGAACAGACTATTTTCCAAGATAGTTTGTCCGTCCAGAATCTACAAATGTCTTCAAGCATGCGACATCTACTCTGTTTTTTCATTATTTGGGTTTCTCTGTCCAGACATATATTGAAACATACCTCCCATGATGATCCATATGCACAACTTATGGCAAAATTTCCAATATCTGGACAGCATTATTCAAGACTGACAGGTAGTATATACATTTCTTCAGCAACCAATTATATTACACTGTCGCAAGAAACGATGAATATCAGATCAGTCTATCTTTACCATATACGAAGCGTTTGGACAATAAGCTTCATGTTATATATAACTAATCATTAGCACAGAATTAGATTACAAAAAATGAAAAAAAAAAAAAGATTGGATATGTATTCATTCAAAGAAGGACATTGGAGGAAATAATTTTGCAAGACCCTATGTTTGGCAGAGGTGCAATGGTTTGCATGAAATTTTTATTAAAGGCATAAATTTATAAATAAGGGTTACTACTTATTACCTGCACCTAGTGCTCTGTTATTTCCAATGCCACGTGTCTAGGATAATTCTTGTGGGTCGAAAAATACTGAGCCACATGAACCGGCTGATCTTAAAAAGATCACCTGATACGTGGCATAGCCGGTGAACGTGGTTTTGATCTGATCATTGTCTCATCACTGTGTCGAATCCATTCTGAAAGTCTCCATGGTTTCTGCCACTTCCACTTGAATTGTAGTAGCCACTGATGATGACTTCTTTTCCACCTCCATAACTTGCCAGAAGCTTGTCCTACAATTGCTAGTTTTTTCATTGACAGCTGTCCGATGGGTACCATCTGCATCAACAGCAAATTAATATCCATATCCAATAAAATACTTGTACCAATTCAAATAAGATTAACATACCCTTCTACCCTGATCTACAAATGCTGCTGATTCTCTCACCAAGCTATTAGCAATCCCTGGCGTGTATTTTAGCTGTTTTGGTACTGGCATAGACACTGGAGATATGGGCCCCTTCATGTCTTCAGCATTTTGTTTTAATGGATTTGGGGAGTCTCCCTGTTGATGTCGAGCGATGATAAGTTAACTACTAAAGGAAGCAATAATTTGACGACCATTGCTATGATATACAAAAGTAAAAGAATGCCATCAAAGTTTGCTGCAACAACCACAAAATATCGGCTGCATTATGACAATAATCGGCAGAATAAAGGAGACGGTAGACTGTTGTGACTACTGAGAAATTATGAAGCTATTAGAAAATCCTCAATTGTAGTTTAAAAAATGTAATAATTGACCTTTGCTACTACTAAGTACTGGAAACCTTAAAACTATAAAATAGAGGTTATATCTTCATCTTCAAATTCATTTACAATCAAGCTCTAAAGGTCTCGGATTCATGCAGTAGCATCATGAAAGTTTAAGCCAAAAGATCAAAGAATCACATTAATTTAATTTATTTTGATTACCGAGCTGATTGTATTAGTTTAAGGCATTACTAGACTTATTATTTGCAGGTATAAGGAATAGGATCAGTCAGCTGTTACTTTT